AAAAAAAAAAATTGTTACAATATTTATAAATTTTGACTCATGTTTGGTTGAGCACATGGACCAGCTAGCATTTTGGAAATTTAATTTTATGGAAAGTTAAATAACACTATCTTAATTCAAAAAACGAGTTAACTCCGACTTCTTTAGAATATCTCCAATGAAATACTAAACACCTGAAAGAAGTATCTGTTCTCTTTCCTGCTCTTCCAAGCCTGTGCTAGCTATCAACAATAATTAGCTTGTAATTCATATTCTATTCCCAAACATTATACATGGATTCAACATTAATTTGAGTGTCACTTTGCTATTTGAATTCTTAATGTACTCTATGTTTTAGAATTAAATAAAATTATATTCAGTAATATGTATGGAACAACTAGAATCTAAGACGACTCAATCATGAAATCCCCAAACTAAAACAATTTAATTCTAGGATAGGTAATATTTAAGCTATATTAAATATTTGGCCTTGACACTTCAGTTATTTGTAATACCAGATTTCTATAACAGACAAGTTGAACAGTCACTATTTAAATAAGGAGCTATATTAGAATGATAACAAGAAATACTATTGTTAGGCCAGATGCAGGTTGTAAATTGACCAAATGTACATGTGACCAATCGATTGATATATGCAGCACAATTAGTGATTGGGTCTAAATGGACTGGTGACCTTTCACCGATCACCCATTTGTACCAATCCAAAAGAATATCCCGTCCACACAAATTGACACTAATTATTTTATCTCTTTTCTTTCTTCCTTCCTTCCCAAAGGCTCAATTAGAATGTTTTTTGAGTTCTGTTGTTTGCACTGGTTACTAAATAACCCAAACATTCAACACGAATAATCAGATGCCATATTATTAATACAATGGCATGTCAGTATCAATTAACATAAAGAAGTAATTGTCTTGTATTAATCAAAGTGTGGGCTTCTTCGAGGAGTAGCCCACTTCCCATTACCTACTTGTATTGCACTGTACTTTTCCATATCCTTGACATAACACGTTTGTATTAGTTAAATTAGAGAAGAAATATGAGGTTTTGAATTTCGATGTCAACAATTCAGAGGCATAGATTCGAGAGAGAGAATGAAAGCTTCTCGAATGACCAAATATGGATATGGAAGGAATTACATAAGGTTGGACTCTTGGAGAGGAGAAAGTCGGTTGGCTTCCGCGAAAACGTAGCATGGATAAGATGTAAATTCCTTATACTCCAAAACTGTTATTATGTGCTTTTTATGTTTCATGTTTTCCTTTTATTTTTCAAGGATGTGTCTAAAACTAATTCATAAAGACTTCTAGTACCGAATAAGCCCTAATTCAATGTGTACAAGAAAAGGAAAAAATAAAGCTTTTAGCATCAAGTAAACACACAGCAGCTAGTGCCTATGCAGAAAAGTAGAAACTATCTGCAACACATAGGTTTCAACCAAATATGCCAATCGCGTACAAATAGAACAAAGATACTTACCTGGAAAATCTAGCCTTGAGATTTAGCGCGAAGGAATCATCCCAGTCTTTCTTGCATAGGCGAAAATCCCACCAGCCTCAATCACAGGCCCAGCATCCCCAATTGGCTTCAACTTATCCTCCTTGCCAGATGTATGATTAGTCAACTTGCTGTCACTCTCCCCAATCTCAATGGTCACAACGTCCCCAGTCTTACATTCCTTGCACAACCTTCCCTCCGACTCCAGTGGATAAACCTCCCCAGTGGCTACGTAATTCCTAAAGAAAATCTGAGCATATGACTCGGCTACAACGGCAGCCACCCCAGAGGCACCTAGGGCTACATGGGCATGCTCACGGGACGAGCCACAGCCGAAATTATCTCCCGAATCACAATGGAGTATTTGGATTTGGTTTCTCCCGTGTCAATGAAGCGAGTTTCGTACAAAGATGGAAGGCCAATGAGGGCGTAAGAACCAAGCTTTTCGTACTCATCGAGGTTGGAGGGGACGAGAGTGAGGTACTCGGCGGGGATGATTTGGTCAGTGTCAATGTTGTCGCCCACAACGTAGCAGAGCCCGTGGAATGTAGTGACGGTGGAAGCGGCGTCGGGGGTGGTTGTGGTGGAACGGAGAGGGCTAGTGATGCGGTGGTGCGGTTGTGAGTTGAGTACAACTCTCCCTATGCAGCCTGCAAATTCTTGAGGAGAAAATGGGGTTTTTTTTTACTTGTGGACATCTACAGTAACAACTAGACAAAACTGAATCCCCCTTTTCAATTACACTCGGGATTGGAAGAGCTTCTCCATTAAGGTTTTTCGGTCATGGAAGATTAAAGGTTTTTTTCGATTTTTGGGAGTTGAGGAGGTGGGGGCTTCTTGGGTAAATTTGATATGTTAAGGTCATTGGTTGCAATTTAAGGATTAGGGTTAAATTTTAAGTTTTAGCCCACAAGGTTTTGAATAAATTCAAGTTCGACCTCAGGTTATGGGTTTTTCATTAAAACAAGAAATTCCGTTAGTTTTTCCGTTAAACAAAGAAATTCGGTTAGTTTTTCCGTTAAAAATAGATATTCCGTTTCATAGCCACTTTTAATATATAGAAGATATAGAAGAGCCTAATATTTATCAGGATCAAAATATGTTCAAAAACATAATTGAGGCCTTGAGGCGCTGCGATCTTGGCACGACCAATATTTTTCCAAAATGCCTACAATGACATTCTTATCCATTCCGAACTTTTCTTCAAGTTTAATATCAATTTTCAATTCTCAATGGGCTTCTAAAATAGAACTTCAACTTGACATAGGACTCTAATAGTATTTTAAACTTGAATTCTTTTTGACGTGCACTTCAATTAAAATTCTTCAATTATTTCAACAAAGAATTCGGGTTACACCCAAATTTTAACAATCTCAACTTTGACACGAATTCCACTGCAACGAACAAAGCTACAAAATATTCCCTACCCGAAGAAGAAAATTCGTCTGCAAGGAATGATTGACTCTTCAACAATAACCAAAAATCAAAGCTCCAAAATATTCCCTACCCGAAGAAGATTATTCGTCTGCAAGGAATTATCGACTCTTCAACAATAACCAAAACTGATTTTTTCCAACCAAACACAAAACACTCCACCTCTTTCAATGAATCCAATCACTACTTTGCAGAATTATCTTAGATTTTCAAAAAATCATAATGATTTTAAAATTCACCAAACTGGACTGTAATATACCTAAAGTAAAATCAAATCGAAATGCTTTTAAAGAAGGTCACTTGCTAGATTGTACACCTTCTACTACACTGAAAGCATGCTCAACAAAATCAACATCCATATACCTTTCACCACTGGGTCCGTCCCTAACAATTGAATGCAATGGCACCGCAGGTGATGGTGGCAAAACGACATTATCCATATCTATTGAACTCCACTGAGCAGTATTCTTCAAATTCGACCCTTTTTGAGATCTTAAAGGTATTGTACCAAGCTGACTATCCACCACGATACTGAATCTGTACTGATTGATTCTTTTAGATTTTGCACGACCTTACAAGATGTATAACTGAGACCTCTTCTATCCCTCCACTACAATATGGACACACTTACAAACATTCAAAGCTCCGCCTCCACCATAGAACTCATAGCCCTTTGAATCAAGGATAGACAATGAGATGCGATTCTTCTTCAAATCCGGAACATGTCTTACCTGGCCAAGTATTCTAATTGTCCCATCCAATAATTTCAATCTGACTGTACCAATTCCAACAACCCGACAATGTGCGTTGTTTTCCATAAGCACAACACCTTTGGAAACAGTTTCATATGTAGTAAACATGTCACGCCCCCATCCCAAACTCCTTACTAGACTCAAGACGTGACGTGCGCCGATGATAAGTGCCAGCTTAGCACTGGACCCATCATCAAGGCAACTATAACTATACTTCAATTGCATGGTCTCCTTTGACCAATAAAAACCCCTTTTTCGTTATTATTTTTCTTTTTGAAAAATTTTGACAGAGTCTCCTTTGAAAATGGAACCATACTCAATCCTGTAATCATAACATTGTCCCAAACACCAACACATAAACACCCTAATATCAGTCACACATCCATCCAAAATATCTATATCACTAAGCAGCAGAATTGCTTCCCAAAAGATAATAGTGACGCAGTTTGGTTTACAATATTCCATTGTGACCAATGGTACATTTAAATACAAAAATCCTCCAAATATGAAGTAAATGATTTACTTGATGGTTACACTGTTCTAATCGACAGAACCTACAATTGGTGGTGGTAGTGGCTGCAAAACTATCAGAATAATCTTCACCACTGATTAGTCAACTGCTTCCAATAGAAAGATATTAAGAAAATATATGAGATGATAATCCCAATGAGTGGAGTGTTACAAAGATAGTTATTCTGTCCTTTATATATGTATCTACATTTATACAAAAATGAAACTGATATTCCACTTATCTTGCTGTACTCATTATTCTTGAAATCTGTATCATAACACCATATAAATTCATAATGATGGTGCTAAATCATAAATTATACTCAAGCTGATATCTAGAAATGATAATAATTAATACATCAAAATGAGTAAGTACACAAGTCGAATTCAGTAAGCTA